CCCGCCCCTGACTTAGCTTCTCCAAGCCCTCATGGGATCCCCAGGGGTTAGTCCTTGAGAAAAGAAAGTCACAAAAGAGATTGGAGAAACCCTAGGTGGGAATAGGCACGAGAATGATGGGCAAGCTCCCCTCCCGGCTGGAGAACTTCAAGGCTTGGCAGTCCCCGTGCGGGCACCTGGAAACCTTCTGCCCACCCCCTAGGTCCTTGCTCTGCGGCAGGCTTCAGATATGCAATCTGATGGCATCAGTCTCTCTGTGCCAAAAAAAAAACAAAACATGCACACATACTCCTAAAATCCCAGCAGGTTCAATCCAACAGGGAAGTATTCCACCTGTGAGTATTAATCTTCGAGCAGTGTTGGTCAAGTGTGTGGACTGGCATTCCGTACCGAGTAGACGTGCCGCAGCTTGGCACAGAGCCTGGGACGTCCGGAGGCGGAACTTTGTGGCATTTTAAGGACAGGCAAAGGATGACCTTCCTGGAGGGCCACTGGTGGGCTACTTACTCTGAATCTGGGGGAAGGGTAGCCAGGCTGAGGGATACAGTTGTGGGATTTGAATCTCAGATCTATGACGAACAACACCTCCCCCACCCGCTGCAGCAGCTCAAGCTGGTCAGCTACGGGTGACTTTTGCCAGGGCTGGGGGGGCGGGACACGATGTTGTGAGTGGGGAGGGAGGGTCCTGGGGAAATCAGGAGGCTGAGACGGGAGCCACTGAGATTGCTGACTCAGGGGCAAGCTGGCCAGGGTTGTGGGGTGGGGCTGGGGGCTGAGATCCTGCACAGCCTGCTGCAAAATGCCATCTCCAAACAAAATCACGTGGTGTACACACGCTTGCACATGGTTGTGTGAGCCGGGAGAAGGGTGTGGAAGAACATACCCGTGTTACCCTTGGTCACGTCAGGCTGGGAGGAGATGGGCAAGGAAAGGGGCTGGAGCAGATGTAACGATGCACTTTGCATATCTTTGTAGTAACTCACTGCATTTGTTACAACTGGTGTGATTTGAAAGATAGCAAATGAAGTAGAAAAATTAATCATTTACTACTCCTTTCTGTCCCTCCCTCCCCACAGTGGCCTTTTGCTTCCAGCCAGCAAATCCAGAGAGAAAACCAACCTGCTGCTATTGGCAGTAACAAACGCCCGGGAGGTAACTTACGTTGGGGTCTTCTGTGTGCTGGGCACCATGCATACGTCAGGCACACATCCTCGTCGAACTTTCTCCACCTGCAGTAGGGTTAGTACTTCATGTTATAGATGAAAGATTTCGGCTTAGGTAGGCGGAGTAACTTAACGAAGTAAATAGTAAGGTTCACATATTGGCTGAAGACCCAGGAGGAAACAGAATTCCCTTCAAAAGGGTTTAGCTCAGGAGAACTTCTTTTTCTTTTTCTTTATTTTTTTAAGATTTTATTTGAGACAGAGAGCGTGCGCACAAGTCGGGGGGGGGAGCGTAGAACAAAGGGGGAAGGAGAAGCAGACTCCCTACTGAACAGGGAGCCCGACGCAGGGCTCGACCCCAGGACCCTGAGATCATGACCTGAGCTGAGCTGAAAGTAGACGCTTCATCGACTGAGCCACCCAGGTGCTCCTAGCTCGGGAGAACTTAAAGAAGGGACTATTTACAGACCGGCAGACTCAGTGGTAAGAGAATTCATGAGGGATGTTGAAGACCCGGGACTAACAATAGCAGGAAGCCAGCACCACCCCGGGGGGCGGGACAGAGAGGCCCAACAATGGGTGGGCAGAGAGGACAAGGGGAAGGAATACCAAGGGAGCCCAGGTGAGCAGAAGGAGGGAAAAAATACCCCCAACCACTCTCCTGTCCTGCCTTCGTGCCTCTCATTGGCTGACCCAACAGGAAGCCAGGGGGTTTGCTGTCTGTAGGGGTTGGGAGGGGGGAGAATGAATGGGAGTGGGGAGAATGAATGGGAGGGGGGAGAATGAACGGGCGTGGGGAGAAATGCAGAACCACCAGCGCAGACGGTGAGTGTGGAGCAGGAGTTGAACTCAGAACTCAGGGACTCTGAACCCTGGAGTCCTTCTGCTGCCCACACATCCTCCCCCCCCACCCCGCCCGGCTCCCACACAGCACTCTGTATGTGGGGCCATGCTGCCAAGTAAGGACTCAAGCCCGAGTCTTTCCTGCTTTCTCTAGCCAGAATGCCCTCTTCTAAAGAATGGACTAGGTGTTGGTCGGGATAGCCGCATCTGGCAGAGAAATGTGAGGCCTGTATTCCAAGCCTGACACTTGTGTGCATCCATGATCCCATGCTCACACTCCTCCTCTGCCAGGGACCCCATTCCCCCTTCCCTTGGCCTTCCCAGGGGCATTCCACGGAGGACCATGTTTCATTTATTGCTATATCCCTGTATCTGGCTCAATGCCTGGCACAAAAGAGACTCACAGTAATCGCTCACGGTGGAACTCAAATGTCTCTCCAAACTCCCTTTCCTTGGGGCCTTGGGTTTTTATTTCATAGAGTGAATTTTCCAGAAGCTTCTCTACCTTCTCTTGAAGATAAAGAATGTGCTCTTTCTAGCCACTGATTCACCTGAGCTTCACAAAACACTTTATAGGGGGGTGCTATTAGAGCGACAGGTCACAGCTAAGAAAAATTAGCCACTGGAAGTTAAATGACTTGCCTGAGGTCAAGTAGAAAACATCGTCAGACCCAGGATTTGGTCTGGCAGCTCTCACCAGAGTCTGCTCTTAGCCTCTGCCCCACCCAGTCTCCCAGGGGACCTGCCTTATAACAGGCACCATTTTCTTCAACTCTGGTGGGATGAGAGCTGCCACTTCTGGTTTCTTCTCTGGCCTGGGGGCCCTAGCTTTGCCCTGCTCCTGTGAGCCCAGCTCCAGGCCTGCAGAGGCTCTCAGCAGTGGCTCACCCCACCTTTCCCCTTGCTGTCAACTGCACAGGAACTTTTAGGGGTCCACTCTCTTGGGGGAGATGCTGCCCTCTCTTAGGGTGCCTGGAGAGTGGGCCAGGAGGGGAGGGGGACCTTTAGCCCCTGCCTGGGCTGGGGGGAAGGGTGCCTTCTGACTTGCTGGCTTTGACAGCTGGGAGGGAGACTGCTTTGGCAGGATTCATGGCTCCACCCTCTATGTCCCTTTGCCTGTGAGCTCGGGGGCCCATCCCCACCTCCCCCTGCTTCCCAGCTGCACTGAGGAGTTCGTGGCCAGCTTTCCTCACTTCCTCCCTTTGGCCCCCTCTGCCTGCTGAGCCCCACGCCCAACCCTGCCCCCAGTCCCTGCTGCCCACCACCCCCTCCCCCCCCCCATCCCCAGGCCTGACTTTAGGAACTGGAAAATGGGCTGGGACCAGGCAGCAAAGGGAGGCCTTGGCATTTGGGGCCAAGCCTGGGGTTAGTGGGGTGGACAGGGGTGGTGAGTAGAGTCTGGGAAGGAAACACATAGGTAGACAAAGGAGGAAGAAAGCAGGAGACCTTGATCTCAGCAGCCTGGAGCAGCATCTTTGCTGCAATTTGTTATTTACTGTTATTTACACACTTAGCATGTGCCAACCACTACCCTATTTATATACTCTCACTGCCAGTCTATAAAGTAGACATTAGTTTGCAAACAAACTGAGGCACAGTTAGGGGTCTGCCTAAGGACACATGGATTTGGCTAAATAGGGTTTTTAACCCAGCCCCATCCTCCTGTAAGCAAGAAAGAAGCTGAACTGGGAACCCCAGGGCAAATGGAGTAACCCCAAGGGAGTGGGGGGGAGGCAGGAAAACCAGCTGTCCCAGGGCCTCAGACTGATAAATTTGTGTTTATTGTCAGGGTCTCCACCAGGGACCATACGGCAGGAGAGGGTCCCAGCTTCCTGCCGGGTTGAGGCTGCTCCCCGGGCGCTGCCCTCTACCACAGGGCTGGGGTCAGGACGGCGCTGGGCTCGAGGTGCCCATCGGCGAGGCGCGCGCCCCCGGGCGGGTTGACAGACTCCAGAAGCGCTCCCTGAACAAAGACTGGGTGGGAGGCGGCCTGGTGTGTCCCCACCCCGCCTCCCCCAGCGCCTGCGGAGCTGCGACCACAGACAGCGAGGCGGAGCGAGCATGGCGGGGCCCCGGGCCGCTCCGCTGCCCCTCGTCCTGCAGCTCATCAGCCTGGCCCTGGTCTCGGCGACCGGCGGAGGTAAGTGGGGGCGCCGAAGGCTCGGGGGCGGCCCGGCGGGACCCCGTTTTCTCACTCAGCCCAGCCCCAGGGAAGGAGCTGGGGCCAGGCTGCCTCTCCCGACCTCCCGCCGCGGGGTGCAAGCGCCTCCCGGGCCAGCCTGAGTCCTCCCCGTCGGTGGAGGAGCCCGCGTGGGGGCGCGCACGGAGGCTGGGGCCTGGGGCCCGGGGCGGGGGGGCGGGGGTGCTTCCTGCAATGGCTCGGGAGGAATTCCTGCAGGCAGCGGTGGGGGAGAGGCTGCCCTGGAATCTGGGAGTCTGAAGTTAATTATTTGTCTTGAGAAAGCGGGGGGGAGGGGGGGCAGGCCCGCTATGGGAGCTGACTTTGAATCTGTGTCTGGCCTTCCGGGGGGGGGGGGGGCAGGCAGGAATAGAGGGGTCAGTGCAAGGACTAAGCAGCTGGCTGGGGAGAGGGGAGCCGAGGACAGTTCCATGGGGAGCAATCAGGCTCTGTGAAACAATCTGGAGCTCTTTCTGCGGGTCTCTCCAGGCAAGGGACTGGCCCTGTCTTCCCGGAGGGTCCCAAAGGACCCCCACCCTCTCCCTGACTCCCTTATTGTGCTGCTGAAGTAGACCTGGAGGTGTGGCCTGAGAGGAGAGACCGTGGGGGCGGGGGTGTCAAGCTGGGACGGAGGGTTTAAGATGCTGAGCCCTCATCTTCAGCTGCCCTGCAGAGGGTGGGGAAGAACGCCACCTACAGTAGCCCTACCGAGTTCCAGGTGACAGGATACCCGGCTAGGGAGGGAATGGGAATGTGCGCAAGAGGCTTGGGTACCGGCATTTGTTGGGGCGTTAGAACCTGGATGTGGGGAGTAGTGCGGCAGGCTGAAAAGACGGGTGGCATTTGCAAAAGGTCACATTTGGACTTGCCGCTGGGAACCTTCAGATGTGTGATTTAGAGAAGTGGTGTCAGGTGGAGGCAGGGAGGATGGCTCTGACTTCAGCCTCCTGAGTGGAGAGAGGGGAGAGGGCTGGGGACAACTGGATAAGACCAGAGGCTGATGGGTTGGGGGGGCACAAAAGAGGGAAACCGAGCCCCAGATTGATATCAGAGTCCGTGCGGATGGCAGCAACAAAGCCAAGGAATTCGGGCCAAAGCAGGTTTGGAAGAAAGAAGACAATTTAGGTTTCAAATGAGACTCTCCAATCCCCGCTTGGGGGAGTGGGGGTGGGGAGTGGGTGACATAGTCCCCTGCCTCACAGGACTAGTGTCTATGAGAAACCCTTTTAGCCACCCCAGACCTGGCCTCATAATTTGCTGCCTCTGTAGGGAAGACCCTCCCCTCTCCTTCCTCCTCTTCCTCCTCCAGACCCTCCTCTGCCCACCCCCACCCGGAGGAGGGATCTGGTCTATGGGAGGTCTGTGGAGTGAGCCTACACCACCACGCCCCCCCACCCCC